TACAGTAATTCGTAAAACATGAAAATCATGCCGCGATACCCGTTCTATATTGACCTCGGTATATTCGTTCTGCAAGTGCATTGTGCGTGATTTGATCGTTGTAGCCAGTACATTCGCCATGCACCAGCCTAGAATTTAAACATGAGTTTAAAATTTGTATTGCACAGTAGGTCAGTAAACCGCCAATTCGTTACGGATAATTTACAGTTGAAACATTAGGGTGACGTCATAGGTGTATTTTTAATACTGTTCAAATCGGCCTTTAACCATAATCAATCACTCACACGTACTCGCTAGTCATTAACGAAGCTGTCCCTGATGTTTTCTCTACTCCCTGTATCCAGAAGCGCCCATGGTGCTTAACAAGTTAGCAGTGTCATATGAGGAAGACGGCTTAGAACATTCGTCACCACTCGCCCCTTTCCGTAACCAGCTATTCGGCTTGTCCCGGAATAACACGAGTTGGTCACGAATGGGCTGAGAACACACGAGTTAACTTGAACCAAGCAGGCAGTAAAAGATTGAATTAGTGAATGTAAAAGGAAGGACAAAACGCGTTTAAACCTTAGTCATGGGCCCTCCTCGGCTTGAATTAGTGTTTTTACACGGGTAAAGTAGTGTTGAAGACCCTGTACTATGCGCTGTTCGAAAAAGTTAAAGAACAAAACAGTTCCCCAGTGCCAGCAATGGCGACTTTGGCTTGAACAAGAGTTTGCATAAACAGAAGGACACTCGCTGCATTAAATCAGAAGGCATTATACCAAAGGGCAACAAATAATATGATGCGCTTTCTTTGAATCGGGGGTTGTAGACACAATGAACACAGAGTTCAATTCTCTATGCAAATAAAATTGTCTCCTTCCCTTGAGTCGACCCGTGAAGATCCGGGGTAGAATAGATCTTCAGCAACCCATGCTTGTCATAAAAGGTGAGGTGAGGTGAAATTTGGTTGGTTGACTCCGAGCCGACCAGTCCTTGTTTTAGCCCCTTAATGCTGAGCGTCAGACAGGGTAACAACAAGTACCATCTTTTAACGTCTTTTGGTATGACGCGGCCGTAAAAGGCGACTATGCTTGTCGTAGGAGGCGACTAACGGGATCGGGTGGTCAAGTTCGCTGACTTGGTTGATGCATGTCATCGATCCCAATGGCGTGGATCGATGCTAATGATATTAATCACTGGATTGTCTGGTCCAGACTCGATTATTTACAGACTGCCGTCATATAGCTGGAATATTGCTGAGTGCGGCGTTAAACCACAAACAAACAAACAAAAAACTAATCAAATATCAACGAAGAAATGTTCATGCCTGGCATTTTATCAAAGACATTCAGAACAGGTTCTATAAATATTGAATGCAACACAATCTCCAATATTTTATTAAAGAATTACCAATGATTACACGTAGGCGATACTGTCATTCGCTTACAGGAATAGTGGATATTCGCGAGCAGCGAGCAGAACGATTTCATTGACCCAGCGCATACGACTACTTGTAATGCGCAAGTGGGCGTATAACAAGGGTATAATCAGGTGATAACAATGGGAATTTCAAATTGCACGAATAAATACTAGTATCCAAATGCGTCCATTGAGATTGAGTGTGTCTGTTGTTTGTAGAACACCGCACTCAGCAATTTATATGACGGCGGTCTGTAATAATCGAGTCTGGACCAAACAATCCAGTTATTAGCATCATGAACATCGATCCACGAAATTGGGATACATGCATCAACCAAGTCAGCGAGCCTGACCATCCGATCCCGTTAGTCGCCTCTTACGACAAGCATAGTCGCCTTTTATCACAAGAATGGGTTGCTGAATACCTTTTCTACCCCGGATCTTCACGGGCCTGCTACTTTGGTGAAACCCACGAGCACATGTATGGTGCAAACCTAGAAACATAATTAAAGCGAAACGGGATTCGAATCCACGATCAAAGGTTTCCGGTGTGCCTAAGGAACGCAACTCTTCAAAGCAATTGCGGCGCCTTAGACGACTGGGCCACCCGCACCTCGGAGATTGGGTTACGTTAGGTTAAACGCCATTTAGAATGAGTGAGTATGGTCTGACGCCGAATGTAGCAATATCGTGACATGTGGCACCAAGATAAGGTTGAACACAGTGTATCAATGTGGGGAATCAAATAAGGATGGTGAAAGCCCAAAGTGATGCAGGTCTCAGACTTTCACCACTTTGGTGAAACCCACGAACCTAGAAACATTATCTGGGCGGACCGGGATTCGAACCGATCGCTGGGGGTTTCTGCCCTGCCCAAGGGACCCATCTCTGCACAGCGAATTGCTTCGCCTTAGACGACTGGGCCACCAGTGCCCCCACACTATGACTCCAAGCCGACCACTAGTAGTTTTAACCCTTCAATGCCGAGCGGCAGGCAGGGAAACAACAAGTACCATTTTAAACGTATTTTGGTATGACGCGGACTGGAGTCGAGCCACGGACCTACCGCTCTCCGGGCGGACGCTCTACTACTAGACCAAGGAGGCCGTCGCGATGAACCAGAACAATGAAAGATGGAACCTCAGATAATATTCCATGGGTCATTGGGATTCATTACCCAAATATAAAGATTTAACGTGTACAAAACAAGCTGATGAAAACAACAGGCTCTGAAAGTTTTGTTCTGATAACATCCCTTCCAAGCTTAATGTCACGTAAATTTACAGGATATCACACGATCATCACATTAACAGTAAAAGAGATCCTTGTAAATGCGATGAAATCTAAGAACCCTGTGGAGTCACCCATGCTTGCCTTAAAAGGCGACTATGCTTGTCGTAAGGGGCGACTAACGGGATCGGGTGGTCAGGCTCGCTGACTTGGTTGATGCACGTCATCTATCCCAATTGCGTGGATTGGGTGGACGAGTCACTATGCAACATGCACGTTTGTTTGTTCGTGTGTTGTTTAATGCCGAACTCAGCAATATTTCAGCTATATGACTTCGGTCTGTAAAATAATTGAGACTGGGCCAGACAATCCAGTGATTGATATCATGGGCATCGATCTACGTGCTGTATTCTCCGTGCAACCTGCAAAATGTTGTGTTAATATAAATAAAATTGAGTATTAATTGCAATAAAAACTAGTTTTAGCTCCGCCGATTCAACAGTCTTACTCTGGCGAGACTATCGTTTGCACCGCTCTAACCAGTCGCAAATTTAGTACCCTCAAAAAAACATACGTTTCTGAGCTTATTTTGAGTGATGCTGATGCGAGGATCTGGAAATGAAACATTTATATAAAATAACTCTGCCGACAAGTCGTATGCGCCTAAGAAGTTATAGGTTGATGGGTGTGAACAATTCTAATTCTGTTATTTGTCATATGGCAATGTTGTGCATTAATAAGTTACTACTAAAGTAGCTAAACATAAACACGCCAGTCGACTAGTCTTTCAATCCATCCAGTTTGAAAACGGTGCCACTTGATCACCTGGACATGTAATAAACCCAGTGACAATATTCTTCATTCTTCGTGTGTGTGTGTGTGTGTGTGTGCGTGCGCGTGCGTGCGTGCGTGCGTGCGTGCGTGTGTGTACGTGTGTGTGTACGTGTGTGTGTACGTGTGTGTGTACGTGTGTGTGTACGTGTGTGTGTGTGTGTACGTGTGTGTGTACGTGTGTGTTTGTCCGGGCTAAATGCCGACTTTATAGTGCACGCCACTGAGAGACCATGTCGCAGTTTAACATGACCCACAAATCCAGCTCGAAACAGGAAAACTATCTGCAGCCCAGTTTTCCGGAAATAGTCAAAAGTCCATCCTTGTTGTGGCAAGTTGTATACTTGTTTGTTGATCAACGGCACGTTTTGCAACATTTCAGATATATGACGATGGCCTGTAAATAATCGAATCTGGACCAGACAAACCGGTGATTGCAACGATCCATGTCGTCGATTACGATGACGCAGTATATATATATCAGATAATACAGTGATTAATATCACGAGCATCGATCCACGCAATTTGGATCAATGACATGCATCAGCCAAGTCAGTGAGTCTGACCATCCGATCCCGTTAGTCGCCTCTAGCTGATGCATGTCGTTGAGCCCAATTGCGTGGATCGAAGCTCATGATATCAATCACTGGATTGTCTGGTCCAGACTCGATTATTTACAGACCGCCGTCATATAGCTGGAAGAATGCTGAGTGCGGCGTTAAACAACAAACAAACAAACAAACATACATCGGACTGGATCGCTCTATACGCGGAGAGACAAATACAGTAATAAAGAAATGCATCTGTATCTTTGGGGTTTTTTTCAGAGAAGTACAGCGCAAATCGATACACTTCTAATAGTAATAGCTGTACGTGGACGTTATCAAACCAGATATCCCGCATTACTCCCGACGTGTATTGTCATGGAAGAATCTGTCGAGTTTCCAAATAAAACACAATGTGTTACCTGTCTTATAATTATTAAATATCTTCCAGACTTATCTTCCCAAGGTGCATGGTACGAGTTGTGTTTCTTAACCCACGGGATGAACAAGAACTATGACACGATTGACAACTGTTCCCGTGAACATGAAATGTTCACACACAATTGATCTTATTCACGTATGAGACTAAACGAGTATAGTTCGCATTCTTGCCCATAGGGGTACTAAAAATATGACACGCATTAATAAATGGATGTCAATACATCTTGTTACATCCACATTTGTTTAATATGTGTCAAGATGAAGAAGCGTGTGAACATATATCACAACTGCAACATTGCTCTAACATTGAAATCATCTCTATACAGTCACTTCCCAAACAGGGTGTATTAACAAAAAGAGTGTATTTTCGTAAAACGGTTTGCAATGACAAGGTGTTTTAAACGTTTTAACAAGATATTCAATAAATGAATGCTTTTCAGGTAGATGGATGACAAAATAAATGCAAAATCCACAAAATAGTTCACATGCGTAAGCAGTAGTTATTATGTGGATTCGTCAATGACGGTCACTGGTTATTACATCTATTCCTACCTTCTCCATTCGCGTCGAAAGATTCTTTCCGCGCGGAATGCCCCGTTCCCATTGTACAGCCAATCTTGCTGAGATTTCAGTCGACCACCATCAACCTTGGTGGTCCAAGCTTGAAATAAAAGTCACGGTGTGCAGCGATAATAAAGTTACACGACGCTAGTCCCAGCCTTCACAACATAAATGCCATCCTTGTCCGTTAGTCCAGTCCAGCATTCAGCATTGACATACATCCAGTGAGTTTACAGCCATGCTATACACAAAGAGCTGTCTTTTCCGTGCCGACTGTCACAGAATTGATCTCTTCACGTTATAGTTGAGATCAGTTTTTCAACACAGGATGAATCAATGCGGCTTTGCCAACTCTTGGGTCGGACACCCTCAGGTTATAAATGAATCTCCAAAAATTTCTCTCGCAAGAAATTCTATTCAAGTGAATGAAAGTAGTTTTTCTCACTATCGACAATGCACACAAGCGCTTGCTGCTCTTGCATGTGCTGCTTTCGAGTTTGGCCGAATATAAACATCACGTGATCTCATAAATATTTACATTTTGTACGGCGGAGGTCATCTAGTCACATGATTTATCACGTGATTTAAGGAACGATACTACTTTCCCCGAACAAGGTTATGTTTGTAACATACGCCAGTCGGTGTTCTGAAATAAAATTTATTTAACGTAGACTGTGGATCCATTATTCAAGTGTTTGTATGAAGCGTGAACCTATTACTACAATAACAGCAATAAAGCTTAAAAGGCGAATTATATGTTGAAATCGGAAACTCAATTAAGCTTGTGAGAAATTTATTATTGTAACAAAAATGATTATTAAAGCAATACGATTTCAAGAAAATATGACATTCATATCCGATACATGTGATGAAATAGATGTAATTATTGCGATATATGTATAGGACTCCAATCCATAGGTAGTATCCAATCAATAAGGGATAAAACATGAAGGAGAATGTACCATACAAATGCCATATGATTTTATACAGGTGAGGTGATGTGAAGTTGGGTTTAACGTCGCGTCCAAGATTATTGCACTTATATAGCGACGTGCATGCACGTGTGTGTGTGGCTGCTTGTACTAGCCCGGACTGATGCCTATTTATAGTGCTAGCACACTGAGATACCATGCCGCAGTTTAACATGAATACCCCACTCAGACACAGTATACTGACTCCGAGCCGACCAGTCCTTGTTTTAGCCCTTTAATGCCGATCGCCAGACAGGGTAACAACAAGTACCATCTTTTAACGTCTTTTTGTATGACGCGGCCCGGGATCGAACCCTGGACCTTCCGCTCTCCGGGCGGACGCTCTGCCACTAGACCACGGAGGCGGTCTGATTTTATACAAGGCGATTGTAATATTAGTTTATGTAAGTATATAGCACATGTACGGCATTACTACTGTGACGTCATGTGGATGTGATGTCATCAAGTGCATGATATTGCATTTATATGAGTGTGATTCGCCCTTTACTACCCTTTACTCTCTCATGTGCCTTGGGACCTCTTTAAAGGGGTTATCTGTTTTAGGGCTAGTATGATGCTATTCGTACAATTATAGCTCTTGGAACTTTAATAGGGCAGAATATTTGTTTGGTCATTGCTTCAGTGGATATAAAATATTTTGCTCGGAAAGGAAGACGGGATCATTTTAAACTAAATTTCACTTTTTGTTTATATATTTATATAAGATAGCTACGCGTTAATCGCAAAGTGCAACGTAGAGCAAAACGTGGTTTATTTCGTGATAAAACATTGTTCTATCATGGTGTCATTTCTGGAGATTCGAACATGCGCTCGCAAATTGATGACGTCGTTAATTGTATTTTTGAAAGGGAAGCGTCTTATAATTTATTTCCTATAGACGCAGCTGGGCAATGTAGATATACGCAATGGCAGAACGATCGCACACAAGACTTAGAGTGGGATAGATATGATAATCGGTATTGGCAAAAATGTACAGATAATCGACGAGAAATTGTGAGAATATCCGGGAAATACCAAACTGTACCTCTCTGTTAAATTACGACTTGTCCGACATTGCCCAAATCGGAATGTGTTCAGGGAGTCATCATTATTTAAATACGGGTACATGTTTTTAAAGCTTGTACATTTTATTAACATCATAAAAAGAGGCCTACGTCATGGTTTAGACCGCCTCCGTGGTCTTGTGGTAGAGCGTCCGCCCGGAGAGCGGAAGGTCCGGGGTTGGATGCCTGGGCGGGTCATACCAAAAGACGTTCAAAGATGGTACTTGTTGTTACCCTGTCTGGCGCTCGGCATTAAGGGGCTAAAACAAGGACTAGTCGGCTCGGAGTCAGTATACTGTGTCTGAGTGGGGTATTCATGTTAAACTGCGGCATGGTATCTCAGTGAGCTAGCACTATAAATAGGCATTGAGATCAGTCCGGACTAGTACAAGCAGCCACACACACACACACGTGCATGCACGTCGCTTTTAGTGCAAAAATCTTGGACGCGACGTTAAACCCAATTTCACCTCACCTCACCTCACCTCACCTCACCTCACCTCACCTCACGGTTTATTCTCCCTGCAGTATTATATTGTACGATACCCACTAGTCGTTTATTTATTAAATATATTATAAATTTGTATAGCGCACTCTCAAATTTGTAACACCTCTATAACTTTATAAAGTCAGTTAACCCCTTTGCCGCGGGAAGATGGCTGTTAACAGGACCACGCGCCACCACATCAGGCAAGTCCGGTGTTTTCTGGAACAATTTATTGTTTAAAAACAAAACGAGGGCTCCTATTATCACTTTAGTTTCCTATTAGAAGTACCGGGCACAAGAAAGGATAAACTTGACAATTGAGTTTGACCAAAAAATTATTAACGTTATCAAAACGCTACTTGACTGAAAACAGTCACCGAAATACTGATATCCGCATCAAATACACGACCATCGAATAACCATTTCGTGTTTGATTCATTATTAGCCACATCAAACGTGGGTGTATACTTTCTTTTGTCCGATAGTTTATTAGAGCTCCGAACCTTAATCCTTGGGTTGTTTAGATACTGGAAGTGTAAGTAGTGTTAGTATACATGTATTCTGATATACTGTATATTCTGTATATCAGGGAAATTTAACTTTCGATGGTTGATATAAATACTTTAGCATCAATAATGCAACTTTGATGACGATTTTACATCTGTTTGATGTTCTACGCGTCATTTTGAATTTTCTTGTCGTTTTATATTTATAAAAATGCTACAATAACACTTGCTTGAAAACGGTTTTAGAACCTACACTAAAGTCGCTCAAAATTATTATAAAGAAGTTGTTCATCCATAAATCCTATCCTTATTTGCTACAATAACAGCTTTGTCAAGCAATGGAACACGTGTTACTATCTCACAGTTGTGTGTTATAGTAATACACATGGCTGTTGTGTTCCACCTTTTCATGGCCACTGATTTGTTTCATGACAATTGTTTAATCAATTACTATATATTTTACAATACAAATAAGAAGTTACGAGAAATTAGAACTGTTAGTTGTTTCGTTATCTAAAAATAATTGGTACTTTAGTGTGTCTAATCGTGAATGAATCATGTTTAAACTAATATAAAGCTTTATTTATTTTCAGCCATTTGAAATTTTATTACTGATAAATATGATTTACATATAAGCAGTTGTATTTAAAATAGTATATAAACTCAGCGTCGCCATAGTTACCAGACTGCTTATACCGCCATTTTGGACGAGGTGCAATGCGTGAGATGCCTTGAGAGGAATGAGACATCATGCATCAACTAAGATAATGAACACATACAGCATAATTCTAAAGCTAACATGACAAATTTGCAGAAGAGCACCGAATCAGACCAACTGTCTGATTCGTGTGCAGAATCGTCGTGTAGTGAACTTCAACAACTTGACATAGACCTCGAGTCGAGAGAGGATTCTCCGAGTGTAAGAGCACTTGCCAAAACGCGACAACAAGAGGAGGAAGTGCTACAGATTATTAGACAAGTAGACGCTCTCGGTGCTAACACTTTAGATCTGAGCAACAAGGGACTTTTGCATCTGCCAGAGGAAGTATTAGAATTGAAAGGCCTGGAGGTATTGCAACTATTATGTTGACAAAACATAATCAAGAAGTTATTCAAACAAGGTGTTTCACACATCAGTCCAAACTGACACTCTGACACGTCTGATTTGTATTTCATATTCAAAAATCTTATTTTACCCAAACATATAAAAGATCTTCTTGAATGGTTTAGCAGGGAGATATGATATATAATCTCCATTATTTCAGGAAATAAGATTTCTGAGACTAATAATGAGATTCAATTTGTTTATACAACTACGTAAATATTTTTGTAAAGATTTTCGTGAGTATTGTAATCATCATATAGCCTATACATGGTTAAAGAATGTCACAAAACATGCTGTTCCAAGTCTTGTTGATGAATGAAAGTTGACACCACAAAACTTTGCGCCCAAAACTGAAGTCTTGTTAAAACTCAAACATAGGCTATAACTCAAAGTACTAGACGAAATATTTGAAAAATTATCTCTGAATTTAATGGTTGTATTCAACAGACATGTTCAAGTGAAATATGCATTGGATAACTTTCTTACAGACTTACTAACTTTCTTAATGTCTCATATTACACACTTGGCAATCAGTCAATACCATTTCCACGTTAGAATATGGAGATGTTGCTTTCTTATTGGCTGGTCCAAAGACGTATATAGAATATATACGTCTGTGGCTGGTCAATACATGCAAATTATGTACTATCTAGGGGCCTGTATATGATTTTCATGGTACATATATATTCAGTCTAGATTTCATCTTTCAAAGACTGGAGTTGGCTTGTCTTCCTTTTTCCAGGAATATCAGACATTAATTCTTTGAGATGTCATGGTTATTAGCTATTCATTGCATTATGTCCCATTTCATGTGGACTGATGTTTAATTACGTCATTGACAAACTGTTGTAAAATGTGGATTCAGAGTCTTTTTATAACTACAGTAAAGTACGGTTATAACGAACTTAAAGGGACTACTAATTTTCGTTCGTTATAACCGTAGTTCGTTATAAGCATATATAAAGCATAACTACAGCAAATAGTCGGGAACCAGAAAGTTAGTTCGTTATATCCGTAAGTTCGTTATAAGCGTGTTCGTTATAACCGTAGTTTACTGTATTTCAAGTGAATACATCAGGTTGTGAGAAACTACCACTGATAGTTTTATAAACGTAACTGCAAATGCTTATTATTAGTATTAAACTAGGTTAACAAATACCGGTGTGCACATTTCAGAACCGGTTAGGAATTCTAACCAAACCATTACCAGTAACTGTTATCTGGATAATCTTAAAGGGCCTAATGATTACTGGCTACTCACAATTTATCGTCATTTTTTCATGTTATTTCTGAAATATTCTGTGTGTAAAATTGCCTATACCAATAACTTTTATTTTTGTGAAGGTTTGAGCAAAAGGTTTGAATAGAGGGGTACACAAAGTACCTGATCAACTCTCAGTTGTCGGATTTCCATTTTGTAAAAGCCTCAGTGGCTGAGTGGGTTAGATCGCTGAGTTCATGTGTTGGTGATTAGGTGCCTTACTATGGCAGTGTGGATTCGAATGCCGGATTGGACTCAACCACAAAAGTACTAGAATTTGAACTTTACTAAGAGAGTGTAACAACTGAACCAGTTATCGTCATCGTTTTAACAGCAAGTGCCACATGATTACGTAGACCGCTTCAGTTATGAAAATTACATTTTCTATTATCTCTGGTATCACACTCAATTATTTTATTCAATGAAATTAGAAGAAATGTTTTTTATCAATTTGTTGCTACTGATGTAAACCAATATTCCCAAGCATGATGCTATGTTTGCTTCTGGATATGGAGAGAAAACTTTGAAATACAAGGTGTTGTACATGGCGTATGAATCAGTTTCCAAAGTTTGTTTGTTTGTTGTTTAACACCGCACTCAGCAGTATTCCAGCTGTATTACGGCGGTCTGTAAAATAATCGAGTCAGGACCAGACAATCCAGTGATTGACATCATGAGCATCGATCCACGCAATTGGGATCAATGACGTGTATCAACCAAGTCAGCAAGCCTGACCACCCGATCCCATTAGTCGCTTTTAACGAAAAGCATAGTCTCCTTTTACAGCAAGTATGGGTTGCTGAAGACCTATTCTACCCCGGACTCGTCACGATATGGCTGAAATACTGCGGATGTGACGTTAAATCTTAACTCAATCACTCACTATTCTACCCCGGAATCTTCACGGGTCAGTTTTCAAAGTACACTGGCCAGGAGGGCTTGTTAACAAAAAATGTTGGAAGCCCTCATGTTTGACTTATGGCTATGACCTACATAGTGTGTGTTGACCTAAATGTTTTGTGTGGTTAAAATATCGCATGTATGTATATCAGTCATAATCAGTGTAAAGCAAAAACCAAATTTACTACTTCGTGTGGGTTTCCGATAAAATACAAAATGAAAATATATAACAACTGTCTTTGACATTAATTGTTGCCTTAACTGACTTGATGATTCGTGGCAATAAATCTGTACTGACTGGAATTTTTAACTAGACAGTCAGGCCAGGTTTTACAGAAATGTTATTACCCCAATTTTAAAGACAATGGCACTTGACAGCCATTTGAAACACTGGTTGTACATACCAGTTTTAGGGCATATTCTTTGTGAGTTGTGCTAGTATATCAGTGTTAGAAAATGGCACTATTCCTGTAGACCTTGCCAAACTGCCCAATAGTTAAGGTATCATAAGGACTAGTAGAAATTTGCCATTTTTAAGGGTTTTGCTATATGTTATCATTATAAGGACTAGTGGACTAAATATGTTAGTTTCTACCACTGGTATATGCACTCACACTATCAGTATGTAAAGTAGTCCTGCACCATGACCGTGGAATATATTTATTTTATGAAAAAAAATGATCTAGAAACGCATTAAAAAGCAAGTCTAGCCAGCTCTAGCTAACTTTATTATATGTGAAATCAGCATAGGGAATTTTTTTTTATTTTTAGAGTCAAGAAGGATATTGTGTAATATAGGATTTCAGAGGCTAAATGTTAGTCTATATGTAAAGGTGTTATCTAAGTTACACATAAAATTTAACAATTTAGTGATTTATCTAGGATTCCAAACTCTGCCCTTGGCAGGCAAACTGGGAAAAAACCCTCTAATTAGGACATACAGTAATGTACGTTTATAACGAACACGCTTATAACGAACTGACGGATATAACGAACTGAATTTTTGGTCCGGACTATTTGCTATAGTTATGCTGTATATATGCTTATAACGAACTACGGTTATAACAAACTAAAGTTAGTGGTCCCTCGAGTTCGTTATAACCGTAGTTTACTGTACTTTAACATTGCATTCAATAGTTTAGAACAAAGCACCAAAGCCTTATTTATCCTTTTTATTGGTCCTATTATCAGTGAAATACAAGTCACCTCTACATAGAAATAACATTGGGTATTGATTATAACAATAACTACACGAAATTTATTCCAGCCAGAATATGTCTCAAAGCGTCATTTTCAGTAGAATTCAGTGTAATCATATGGACTATTATTAGCAAAGTCTATTAGATGACACAGAATTTTACATGACTCAGGTCTCCATACTAATGGATAAAGTCAGAAACTGCAATTTATACATGACAAATTTAATTGCACAGTGAACACAAAGTAAGGCAAACATTTATACTTGTCTTCACTTCGATGAAGTCAATGTCCGTACACAGTTTTTGTGGGAATTTATCAGTGGTGATTGTCATAATACTTCTTTTCCTGGATACTTATCTATGTCAAGTGATTCATCATCATTAGTTATCTGGATAACTATTGATCAGACCAACTGAGGCTTAATTCCTATCATTGGCACCCCATACCTCTATTAATAACAATCATTGTGACAGTTTTGTCAACGCTTGCCATTTTGAGTGTATCTGTCTATGATTATAGCATGTTGGGTTGTTCCTGGTCATGACAGGCGTAGTAAAGACACGGTTTGTTCTGACTGGAAGTGTTTTTATAACTATTTCCCGGACTGTGACCGTGACAGGAAGTCCATTTCAGACTTACGTGTATTTCTCTCAATCAACCTCCAAGTCCCATTGTCATACCGCATCTGTAACAAACTGTCAAAAAAAAGACTCATTGAAGAATGTTTCAGCATTGTTCAGCCACAATTACAATCATTGATTTTCTGGTTGTTAGAATAGGGGCATCTTTTTTTACTGAAATAGGGGGTGGGGGATTTAATTTATGGCATGTGTTTGCCACAAAATTACATCTTTGGGTTAAAATGTAGAACTTAAAAAATATATATTTTTAAGAATCCAACTAGGTGAGTCCCGGCCTATTTTGTGTTCATTGGTAATTATATGGCCATGGAAGACAAATGCATTTGTGTTTTATTACTCACTTCACAGATCTGTCGACTATACTTTTCACACATGTGGAATAAAATTATGAGGACATAAATGTGTTATTCCCACTGAGTACTATATTTCGCTGAAAAACAAATAATAGTGTTGGAATTCTTTTGGATTTCTTTTGGCATGTGTCATGAAAAGGTCAAGGTCAGAGCAAAGTAAATCCCCACAAAAATGCTTTGTGGTTAGATTTTCTCAAAAAGTATTGTTGCATTTGGCATAAAACCTTGCATATAATTTCTCTAGGACGAGGTCCTTTTTCATAGACATTGATCAAGATTAGTCAAACATCAGGGTCAGCTTTCAGGTTTTTGTAAAACATCTTAATATCAGAGTCAGTTTTCTTAGCCATCGTTACCTTTACAGACATTGAAATATAAATTTACCTGTTTCTTTGGAAATGCTTCCACATCAAATGTCAATTACATTTATGTCAAAGGTCAAGGTCACCTTTGAGGTAATTTTGTGCAATGTAGTTGGAGGTCAAAGGTCAAGGTTACAAGAAAGAAAATAGGGTTATGGTTACACATTCTTTAAAAGTATTAATGCATTTATAAATAAACATAGTATATACATTATTTAGGATGGGGCCCTGATATTGAAAGATTTGTGTCACAAAAATCGAAGGTCAAGGTCAGCATTCAAGATTTTGAAATGTTGCTGGGTGGTCTGTGAAAGGTCAAAGGCTTCTCTTTGGTGCTTGTGGTGAAACATGTTTGCATCATTCATTGCCAGTTACTTTTGTACTTTAACCGATACTCCTGAGACTTGGAATTTTGTTGGATCTAAAGAAGTTTTGTTGATTAAGTTCAGGGAAAAAGTGTTTTTGGACTTGAAGCACATGACCGATCAGAGTATCACATACAAAATCGTGAAAGTGAAAGTCCGAATGTGTTTTCTAATCATCAGATCATGCAACCCAAAACGATTAACAAGCAGTATTGCAAATGACAGTTACAGGTTGTTATGGGATAAACATTTGAAATGGAAGAGGCTTTCCATAGCCCATGAGAAGTACTACCGTACAATCTTGATCATCCATTAGACATTCCAGAATTTTCTTTTGCTCAGTTTTCAAATTTTGAATCAAGAACTTTGTCAAAATGTTTCAAAGTGTAGTCTAGAAAGGAATTCACCATTTTGAAACTACAGCCATCAAACTTGAGAAAGTTGATTGGCTTATGTCGACTTCCTGTTATTGATTTCAATTGTCGGTGAAAGTTTACGAAAGGTCGTCCTGACATGACTGTTAATGTGATATCCTCAGACCTTTGTGTAGGGGTAGTGAGCACCAAGATAGGATTGGGTACAATCATAACAAATACTAGTACTAGTCACTGACCAGTTATCGCCATTTTTTTCATGTTATTTCTGACATATTACATGTACAAAGTTGGCTGTACCAATAACTATATTTTTTCGGAAACTATGAGCAAATGCACTTATTTCTGTCCGCAATCTCATTAAAATCAGATCTTAGTTCTCGCTACCACTAAACAAAGATCTGAGGACATCCCATCAGGGGTCACGTCACAACGACCTTTCATCTGACCAATCAGAGTGTCGCTTACCAGATCATGAAAGTGACAGTCGGAATGTGATTTCCATCATGCAGCCTCGAAAACTTTAAAAAGGGTATTCCGAAAGATAGTTACAGGCTTAACGACTGGATCTATACAATCTAGACAATATATTAGCCTCAAATTTTTAAGCGAGAATTTGTCAAAATATGTTTCGAAGTGTAGTCGCAGATTTGAAATTAGTGCCGTAAAGCACGAGAAAGCTGCCTTCTGATTGGCTAATGTCGACTTCTTGTCAGTCATTCCATTGGTCGGTCAGAGTTCGCGAAAGGTCGGTCTGACGTGACCTGTAATGGGATGTCCTCAGATCTTTGTTTAGCAGCAGCGAGAACTAAGATCTGATTTTAATGAATTGTTTTGTCCGTGGAATAAGATTCAGTTGATTTCAGTTGCTACAATAGGGAATCAAAACTGTTGAAATAGAACTTTCCCGTCAACTTGCTGTACCAGTTATCGCCATTGCAGCATGTGACACATGCTCACGCACACCATTTCCGTAATACAAATTAAATTTTTTTTTGTATCTTGGCTAAGAAATGAGATTATCAATTTGTCGTCTGCAAACTGACAAAAACCAATATTCTCCAAATTCGATCTGCACATGCTTATCCTAAACACAATGTACTATGGGGTTCGCGATATATACTGGTTATGTATTTTTGGAAATGTGGCTGAAATAGGTTTCAGAATTGTATTTTGGGGAAGAAGTGACAGATAGATAGAAAGCAATGACAGAACTGAAAGTGCATCATCATGTTGTTTGATTTATATTTTAGCGTGATTAAGTCACGTGACACCGCCCGCATGTCTTTTCTAAAGTTGTATTTGAGCAAGGTGATTATGGTGTTGTTTTTTTAAATATTTCCTCACAAGAGTCCGTTTTGTTCATAATTTTCAGATAAATATTCGTCTCTTCCATTGAATACGAGCAAAAGTAAAATGAGATCATGCGCTTGCTTTAATGGGGAGTTGGCGATAATTGGTCCTCGGCAACAACTGGTCTTTTCCAAGATGTTGACTGTGTTTGTATGTGAACATGGTATGTACTGTAGGATGAAGAATCTTTTTTAAAGAATCTTGGCTATGATCCTGATGATGGTCCAGATCTTTTACTGAAATGGGATGTCACCTAAACTTTTTATTACAGAACCTGTACCTAGAAGGTAACGAGTTAGCCTACCTCCCTGAAGACTTCTTCTGTTGTCTGTCCAACCTAAAATGGCTGGACCTCAGACGGAACTTTCTCTCTCGCCTTCCCACATCCAGTATTGGCAAACATCAGCATCTGCGCAACCTGTTACTGGAGGGCAACAATCTACGCACATTGCCCCTGGAGCTAGGTAAGAGCCACACACAGTTCTACATGACATGAAACTTAAACACTCAGACAGATGTTTCGTAATGACTTGGCTTAGGGATCCACTGAATAAGAATATCACAAATGTGGAATACTGTTATATGTTTTTTACTTTCCATTCTGTCAACTGAAAGGTTGTAATGAACAAAATGCACACTTTAATTCTTTTCATTAAAAAGTCATTTTCATTCCTTTTTTTCTCATCAAACTGATATTTTTTTTATGAGATCACTTTAATATCTTTTTATTTTTATTTTTTATTTCAACCACCAAACCAACATTTCAGCTTGTTAATTCTGTAAACTAGGTGGTTGTAAAAAACTCCATGTCTTGTCTGTCTACAGTCTGTACCAAACAATTTTGCATCTACATGTACCTCTTTTGTCAGTGATGATGCAAAATGCGGTGGATGTGTTGTGTGTTACACATTATAAAAATGGGTGATATCCTCAAAATGTTCTCTCTTTTCAAAGATAAATATGCTAAATGATTTTTAATTCTGTTTCAAATAGGTTTTGTGAGTACTCTGCATGGCCTCAACATCACTAACAACCCATTGGAATTCCCTCCCCTTGAAATCCTTGAAAAGGGAACAGTGGAAGTGCTGAGGTTTCTCACTGAAATGTTAGAGGCCAAATCTGCCAAGTTTACAAATGGAGGTTTGTAGAAAGATTAATAGTTACTGTTACAGAAGATATTTTGTGTTCTTTATATATTGCAGTGTTCAAGCGGTCCTTATTATTAGTTAAAGATTTATGGCGGGGCCCTTGATTCAAATGCTATAGTGGCAGAACAGAAGAACCCCAGAACCCCATAATTTTAAAACACTGAAGTGCAATAATAAATCATTGGTGTCATTTGTAGGCAATCAGACTATAATTGATGGAAGTTAGCTTTGCGAAGTCTGTAAGTAAGATAACGGTTTTACCTAGATCAACAAAACGAGGTCTTAGGGACGCCGAATATTTAATTTCAAGGATCTTTATCATGTTTATAGGATATATGGTGTCCTGTAAAGTAATAATATTGAATAGTGTACTGTACTCTATGATTTAATAATTATCTTAAATACAGGACATTTAAATTTATACTTAGTATTGTTGTGCGTCTCTCAAGATGCAATGTATATATTTTTTCTGCATCTATTCTATACATTTGTGCGTACTGGACTTACATATCTGTGTCATGTAAAACGCTGAAGATATCACTAAAGGTGTGATGTTCAGAATTGACAGGTTAATATTTGCTGGAAAGGTCTAAAAATTGAGAACTGCAATATTAGTTGGATTTTATGAATTTTTAAAATATCTGCAAAATATTTACATTAAAGGTCATAACTTTGAAGCTACCTGGACTTCAGTAACTGTATTACTGTAATCCAGAGTATGAACACTGTTCGTTCACGCACAAGTCAGCATCTAATGATGTATGCTGACTCCCCAGATTCAATACTACTGAGTAAGGAGGACAGCTCCAGTGATGATGAGTGGGACGGATCCCTGGGAGAGATTGCACGCATGCGACAGCGTGCACGCTCAAAACACCATCAGAAGTCGGCAGGGTCCAACTCCGACATCGGTGGTCTGGTTCCTCACTCTGCAGAGCTGCATCGACCAGTTAGCTATACAGATATCAAACAACAGCATTTAGAGAAGTTGAAGAAAGTCGGAGCATCAGGCAAGTTAGAGAGGTAGGTTCATCAGGACAGATGAATGAGAGCGATACACTGCTTTTAATCACAAACTCTTCTTCACAGAGCTCTAGATAATTTTTGAGCCATTGATTAAATAATTTACTTTCTAAGTATCATTCTCATTTGGTATTGATCATTTTCTTAGGGTATTCAATATTTTTTGCTCCCTTGTCTAATTCATTGGTGTTTTTTACACCAATCAGTAGCACTTTTTTTAGTAATTATGCTTGAAATGCTTTTTTAAGTGACTGCTAATTTGTATCTGTTCATGTGCCGCCCCAAGTCTGTGACAGGATTCATGAACTCACAACAGCCAAATATCAAATTAACAATAACAAAAGTAGCACCCTTGTATGCATTATTCACTGCAGTAGAGTCAATTTCTATGTGATGACTCAACGTAAAGATATGTAATGATATACAGGTACACTTGTTTAAAACGAATCATTGGGTAACAGAATTTTGTTATATAGTGTAGCTCTATATTATTGAGGTATCGGTAAATCTTGTAATCCACACACCCTGTCCACTATTTACTTATGCAAATCTAAGCACGATATTTCCTCGCTTGATCGAATACAGGATTCACGTTATGTCAGGTTATTAAGTACAAACATTAACTTTTTTATGATAGTTTCTGGAATGTTTTTGAAGTGGAATGACCCCTACATTCGAAATTGATTGGAAAAGAACCCATTTGTTAAGATGAAGTCCTTTGACCCAACCTAGGTCGTATGCATACTGATTATGCATAATCCAAACCAGGAAGTGATGTAAACTATATAATCCTTAAAGTTGACCAAAGAATAATTGACAATTTGCATATGACATATTTCATAGGTTACTAAGTGTTCGCCATGATGATCCATTATAAATTAACGACCACGATAATATAGCATACCATCCTACTATTGGGGGTTTCATGCGTATTTGTACGCATAAAAACTCAAAATCAATTTAGTAATGGTAATTTATTTGACGTATTTTACACAAATATGTAGCTTATCTGGAGCTCTGTCTTTGTCTTTCCCTATTACTGATGCTGTATAAAACATAGTGCCTGACCTCTTGACATGATTACGGTGTAACAATACACGGACTCTGTGCCTCTCCGTACTCTGTGCCACAATACAAGGTCATGTAGCAATTCAAAATGATCAACTCTGGATGTTGTGATGGAGAAATCACTTGAATCTGTTGATTCTACTTCTGGAATATATATACTCACTGCCAAAAGAAACGGGAACCATAGAAACATATAGAAAAGTATGTACGTTAAGAAGAGATGTTTCCAATGTGTGCCTCTTAATGTCAAAACCGGGGCGGTCAGGTAGCCTAGTGGTTAAAGCGTTCACTCGTCACGCCGAAGACCCAGGATTGATTCCAACATGGGTACAATGTGTGAAGCCTATTTCTGGTGTCCCCCACCATATATGGCCGGAATATTGCTAAAAGCAGCGTAAAACAATACTCACGCACTCACTCACTCACTCACTCACTCACTCACTCACTCACTCACTCACTCACTCACTCACTCACTCACTCACTCACTCACTCACCCATGTCAAAACCGACAATCAGTCAAGTGTTACCACAGAGTGTCTTTATTCTTATCACGATTTGCTGCACATGATTTTACAAGCTAATCCTTCATGAGACGAATGGTGCATCTTGAGTCATGGATCTATGACGTCACATGTGATGCATTCATGAGCATCGGTTTATACAATATACCAGTATGTTTGTTTGTGCATCGAACAAAACTAATATCTCTTGAATATGAGTAAGTCTTCATTAATTAACCAACATGTATGGTATTTGCATTTCTTTTGGCAGTGAATATAGATACAAGTGATTTCTGCGACTTAAACTATGCTATGGTTGATATATAAATTCTCTATATTATTGCATTATGACCTATAGTTGGGTCCATTTTACTTGCACAAAATGCACGCATGGAATGGCCAGTGACTTCCTGGCTCAGAATCAACTGCAACAACAATAGCATGACGTCATCATAATGATTTTTAACTTTGGAATTGTAAACTTATTCGATTAACATTTTTGTCAAGATATGAACAGAGTGTCAGATTGATGGGTTGAAATTAAACATAAACACATTTGGCTCTGAGTTGCCAGTGTCATGAGGGTGTACATGGGTTTGCTTGTATGTCCAGCCTGCTGTCTTACCTGTGATGATTGTTAGACCATTGCTTGCATGATCCTGTTTAGTGATGTAATATGACCACTTCTTGCACATTCTGAATCAGGCCTAAAACAAATAATATGGTTCCGATTATCTGACTGACCCTAATTAGAGATACTGGCCCAAACCTCTTTTAGAAGTACCCACTGTTTGTGACAAAAAACAGATTGTACACATGAAAATAAATATTACATTCTGCAAATTTTACAGTTGTTTTCCAACATAGTTGTTAAGTTTTAAAAAGAAAAAAAAGCTTACACGCCTACCATTTTGTGAATATTGTTTGTTGTTAAATGCCACACTCAGCAATATTCCAGCTATATGACGGCGGTCTGTAAATAATCGAGTCTGGACAAAACAGTCTAGCGATTGACATCATGAGCACTGTTCTTCAAAATTGGGATATGATGACATGCATCAACCAAGTCAACGAGCCTGACCCCCCCGATCTCATCGGTCGCCTTTTGCATAAGTTACAAGCTTGGGTTGATGAAGACTAATTTAAACCTGGAAAAAGTGTTATCAGAACCACATTATTTTTATTAGGCCCATGATGATCTTTGAGCACTGCTTAACCATTTGCTTCTAATATTACTTATTTGAGCACTGCTTGCTTCTTCTAACTCTCTCCTTGACTGCTCAGTGCTGCAATCAGGAAACTCCTCGCACGCAAGAGGAGCTCCAAGAGCTTACTGATGACTCCAAAGAGGATTCCAGGTCATGCAAAGGGGGACAGGTGGGAATTGTTGGGTGGAGAGGTGTGGGTGGAACTGTTTGTGTATAGGGGTGTGGGGGAGAACTGATACTTGATGGATTTCAAGATGGATTGGCCTGTTGGGTAGAAGTAGTCATGGATGGATTTTAGGGTGTGGAGTATGATGGAGGGAGTTTTGGGAAGAGTAGTTGTTGTGAAGGGGTTTGGGTAGACTAGTAGTTGTGGAGGGGTTTTGCTTAGAGTAGTGTGTTTGAGGGTGGATTGGTGTGTGGGGGATAATAAGTCATGAATGGATTTGAGGGTGGATTGGCGTGTGGGGTAGAATAAGTCATGGATTTGAGGGTGGATTGGTGTGTGGGGTAGAATGAGTCATGAATGGATTTGAGGGTGGATTGGCGTGTGAGGTACAATGAGTCATGAATGGATTTGAGGGTGGATTGGCGTGTGGGTTAGAATAAGTCATGGATTTGAGGGTGGATTGGCGTGTGGGGTAGAATAAGTCATGAATGGATTTGAGGGTGGATTGGCGTGTGGGGTAGAATAAGTCATGGATTTGAGGGTGGATTGGTGTGTGGGGTAGAATAAGTCATGGATGGATTTGAGGGTGGATTGGTGTGTGGGGTAGAATAAGTCATGAATGGATTTGAGGGTGGATTGGCGTGTGGGGTAGAATAATTCATGGATTTGAGGGTGGATTGGTGTGTGGGGTAGAATAAGTCATGAATGGATTTGAGGGTGGATTGGCGTGTGGGGTAGAATAAGTCATGAATGGATTTGAGGGTGGATTGGTGTGTGGGGTAGAATAAGTCATGGATTTGAGGGTGGATTGGTGTGTGGGGTAGAATAAGTCATGAATGGATTTGAGGGTGGATTGGCGTGTGGGTTAGAATAAGTCATGGATTTGAGGGTGGATTGGTGTGTGGGGTAGAATAAGTCATGGATGGATTTGAGGGTGGATTGGTGTGCGGGGTAGAATGAGTCATGAATGGATTTGAGGGTGGATTGGTGTGTGGGGTATAATGAGTCATGAATGGATTTGAGGGTGGATTGGCGTTTGGGGTAGAATGAGTCATATATGGATTTGAGGGCAGATGATGGTGTGGGAAACTAGTCAAAGAAGTAGAATTTGTATTCTCACTGCCACATTTGTTGCTGCTTCAGTCAAGTGAGCAGTCTATTTGTGCGGCTCAGATAATAATTGTCCTTATTTAGCACTAAGATCTATTGCTAGTGGTGCCTGTAGTGAAGCTCATTTCTGGTGTCCCCCGCCGTGATATTGCTGGAATATTGCAAAAAGCGGCGTAAAACAATACTCACTCACTCACTCACTCATGGTGCCTGTACTAGGTAGTGAATTTAAAAGATTTTTACCCAAACTGCATCCTAACATTCAAACTGTTTATGCAACTAACTTTGATCACTTGTTTATTAGAGAATAGCTGCACTGTTACCATTAGCGTTAACATTATTTAGTCATTTCTGGGTCTGTGGCCATGCAGTTGGTTGTAAGCATGGACTGTAAGAGAGTACCTTTTAACTTGTTCAGAAGGAAATCTGGTTCGAGTGTGATGTCATGGAAGGTGAACCAGTACCCCGAGCCCCCAGTGCCAGAGTATGTGGACCTGCGCATGGCGGAGGAGAGAAAGGCTGCCAAGATACGCGAACTCAAAGAAAAACAGGACGCCATCCTGCAGAGGAGGAGGTGAGTAGGTCGGCAGATCAGTACACCAGTTTTTTAAAAAGGTATTGACCTAGCCATGCTAGCATGGGTGGGTCAGTGGTGTACAGTACCCTGCATGCTGGCACTGACAGAGTTACATTCCTTTGCTGCCTGGATCTGCTGGTTTGAATCCCATATTTACTCTTATGACCCTTGATCGGTCAGCTCCATGTGTTTTATATGGTAAAGATCAATGACATGTTATTTTTTGCTTTCTTTCTGCACACCATGGTCAGGGCTCGATTTAGCTGAAAAAACTTACACAAGTGCAACCTGTTAGCGAAACATGCAAACTAGTATTTATGTCTACATGTCTACAAAATCTTTCAAATATGTATCTTACCCTTGTCCACACAATATCAATCTAATTTGTCATGCTTTTGGGGGCTTTACATCATCAAACCGTGGGTACTTCAAGATTATGTGCACATGTTTCATCTTTGATAAATTTATGGGATTACGGTGCAACGATGTTTTCATGCCAACATGCAGCTGATGCAAATTAGACTAGTTCCTTAAATCCCTGATGATATAACTGCAGTACTGTTCATTGTGACTCACGTATGCCGTTATGATTCTTCTCTAATAAATATGTATTGTGTTCTGTTTTTTCATGAATGTTTGTCTTCATTATACATTTTATGATGTGATTAAATGACAGAGATTCCCGATCGGACATGTCCGGCGCATATGACCATTTCCGGATGCCTGGTATGGCCCCTTCAGTTGCTCGCTGAGTGTCAGGTAAAATTGATGGCATGCTTTCAATTTCAGAGATGAACAGATGTTAAAAGACTGGAGAGAAGAAACAAAGAAACTAAAGCAGAAGAAATACTTCGAGAGTGTGCAGAAGGGAACCAAAGGTGAGAATGATGTATGACCATCTAGGTTTCAATCAAAGATGGCTGGTGTTCCAGCTAAAGGTAGAACATTTTTATGGAATGTTGTTTTAAAAGTCTTATGATATTTAATCCTACTGTTATATTGAAAACTGTTTCAATCTCCCTAATAAACCAGATCAGATGCTACTGCAGAGCAAAGATCTGAGGACATCCCATTGTAGGGCACGTCAAATTTTATTTTTTTAATGAACTTTGACCTGCCGATGAAATGACAAACAAGTTGACATTAGCCAATCAGAGAGCAGCTCCTTGAGCTTTACAGCACTAGTTTCAAAATGGCGCCTTGCCAACTTCCATTCCAGACTTCGTTTTGAAAAGTATTTCTTGATTCAAAAATTAAAACATGAAAACTGCAATGTCTGATACATGGCCAAGATTGTATAGCAAAACTTCCCTTGGTCTGTGGAAAGTCTCTTTTGTTTCAAATATTTGTCTGATTGAAGTGAGAGATAGACGATGATTTTGAGGGAAATCAGTCGTACAGCCTGTAACTGTCATACGGAATACCCTGTGTGAACCTTTCCAAGGTTGCATGATTAGAAAATACATTCACTGTCACTTTCCCGTTCTGGTAGGTGATGATGCTCTGATTGGTCGGATGAAAGTTGTTTTGACGCGTCCCATAATTAGATGTCCTCAGATCTTTGTATAGCGGTAGCAAGAACTAAGATCTGATTTTAATAAGGTTGAAAACTGTTTTGGCCTCTGTTCCTGCCATTGTTTTAAGCACATCTTACTCATGTGTTATGGGCCCTTTCATTGAAAGACATTTTGTCAAAAAGATCAAGCTCAGCATTCCAGGTTTTGTATTTCCTGGTTACATCATTGTCAGATTCTCAGGCATAGTTACTTCTACAGGGATGGATCTTTAAGATTTTATTTTTTTTAGAATCCTATCCCATCAAAAGTCAATTTGCATTATGTCAAATGTCAAGGTTTTTGACAGTAGAGGATATCCGACGATGGACTTATTCAACACAGACCTATAATAAGTTTATGGTTAGTTACACTTTTGCGAAACAATATTGATGCATTTATCATTTCACCTAGTATATACATCCTTTAGGATGGGTCCCTGATATGAAAAGATTTGGGTCAAAATATGTCAAAGGTCAAGGGTCAAGGTCAGCATTCAGGTTTTAACATGGTTATATCATTGTCACTTATTTTTGGCACGGCTACCTCTACAGACGAGAAACTTTATATTTGCATGTATCTTTACAATTCCCACCCAATGAGATGTTGGTGGCATGTCCGTCAGTCATCAAGGTCAACTCTTTGGCTATTGTGAAACATGGTTGTATCATTCAGTGCCAATTACTGTTGCATGAGTACTTGTACTCCAGAGATTTGGAATACTGGATCATAAGATGTTGTCATTGAATAAGGTCAGGGTCTGGAAAAAATGTTTTGACTGGCAGTACCTGGCATGATAATATTTTGAGAGCTTTGAGGAAATGTCAGTGAAGGTGCTGCTCCTGTCTTTTTCATGTACAGCAAACACATCTAGTATCCTGAAGTTCTTCAAACAGCATTGGAAATTCAGAAATTAGTTCATAATGTTGTAAGATCAACCAAACTATAATTCGTCAGTGTGACAGGTATTTGGACATCCTGTCTATGATAAAGATGGTTTACGCACCAGAGATAAAAGCACATGCAAGTATCGTGATACATATCAGATCATGAGCAAGGAATCATGATACTTATCGGATCGTGCAGTTGGTGTATCGTCCCAGCCCTACTTCTTACTGAGTCAGTCACTTGCTGTTGGGGGGGGCACGGCTGGCCCAGTCGTCTAAGGTGCCGCGAATCGTCGGCAGAGTTGCATCCCTTAGGCACGCCAGAAACCTATGATTGTGGGTTCGAATCACGTTTCGCCCTGATTATGTTTCTAGGTTTGTCAGCACCAGACCCGTGCTCGTGGGTTTCACCGAAGTGGTAAATGTCTGAGACCTGCATCACTTAGGGCTTTCCTCCCACATTAAGCTGACACGCCGTGATATAACTGGAAAACTGTTAAAAACGGCGTTAAACCAAACTCACTCACTGACTCACTCACTTGCTGTTGACAGATTTTTTGGATCCTGCGACACAGGCTCCATACGGGTTTGACAAGGAACAGCTCAAGATGATGACAAATGAGGAGAGAATCAAGGTGAGAGACGAAGACCACTTACCAGGAGAGACAGGATCAATATTACCTTGTTTGACTTACATTTTGACTTAACAGATTATCATTAATTATCTAGAAAATTAGAATACATTCTAACTGTTTGTTTTCCAGCAGGATGTGAAGACGGCTCATGAGCGTATCCGGCGTGCGATATCTCCTGCTACTAGGCAGAGAGTTGAGGAGGAGAAGTGAGTCTGTCCTAGTCATTCTAGCATTACACACAGAAAGACTTCATCTTTTTGTACAAATACCAAATTTTTCTTTTTTAAATTGTAGGTGTTGAAGTATTCAGCATATAATAGGCTGGTGTGTTCACATACAGCTTTCATGCCATCGTATCTTTATAATAAATGTTTTACAATTAATTTCAGTGAAATTTCCAAGTGGAAATGGGAGAGATAATTATATTTGTTCTGATCTTATGGGAGATCTTTTTTTAGCCTGATGCAGTAACTAAATAGCAGATAACTATTCACCATGGGTTTTTTTATGCTACAGGTATAGCAGTACATGACATCATTACTATTTTTAAAATCGGGTGTTGAAGTTCAAAATAAGCAGAAAATATTTGTATGGTTTAGTGTTAAGCATCAAAATTAAATATGAAAGCAATTCATAAACAATGATAATATAAGGGTAACGCTATTTTTCAGGGCGTTATCATTTGCAGAAGTCTGAGGTCTTCCATTAACGGCCCGACGAAGGAGGGCATTTGAAAAGACCTAGGGCTTGTGCAAATGAAAATGCCCTGGAAAAAAGCGTTTCCGTTATTATAGCTAAAATGGACGGAATTTATTATCAAATAAAAAGAAACAACAATATCGGTTTTGAAACATTTACTGCAATCGACTCGAATGTCACTGACCCACTTTTACAAATACAAAAACATCATAGAACAAACCAGATGACGTCACTATTGAATGTGACGTCACCAATCCCTACCCTATGACACCACCTAACAATGGGCGTGATAATGGCCCGTCATCAAGCAATATGAGGGCATTATCAAGTTTCAGTGGCCAGCTGATTTCTGATAACATGCAGGCGGTTTCATGATAATTCTATCCATTTTAGCTATAATTGTATATAAACAGAGAAATATTACTCATAAGATAAGTTTCATAATTGCATGGATCAGTTGGTGACGTTCTTCAGGGCCACATTTCAACAATCATAAGTATTTCTTATTAACGTTCAAAACTAAAAATTATCTTTATTTATGTTACCATTTGATTCAGGTCTTGTGGGGGTCAAGCCCTCTAAGCCCTGCTATTTTAATGAGGCAGCTAAAAAACTTAGAAACTTACTGAGAAAAAGTTTGTGCTCATTACTGACCAGTATGGAGGAAGGTACTCTGTATTCTAATCCATGATAGTTTCAATGACAGAGTTGTCTAATATTTTCAAGAGCCTAAATGTTCTTTATCTGGATGTGATGTGCTAAAATCAGGGTAGTACCCTACTGACATCTTGTGTTTCCTTCCAGAGCGGCACGGATTCAAGAACTGGAGAGACGAATCAAGGACCATACATCCAACATGGTGGACAGGCGGAGACGACCCAAGGGCACTCCCCAGGAAGAGATGGAGGCGGCCAAGAGGGAACTAGCTGTGGTCAGTACATGGGGGTAGGGGTGTGGTCAGCACATAGAGAGGGGTGTGGTCTGCACATAGAGAGGGGTGGTAAGCACATAGAGAGGGGTGCGGTCAGCTTAGAGAGGGGTGTGGTCAGTACATAGAGAGGGGTGTGGTCAGCACATAGAGAGGAGTGTGGTCAGCACATAGAGAGGGGTGTGGTCAGTACATAGAGAGGGATGTGGTCAGCACATAGAGAGGGGTGTGGTCAGCACATAGAGAGGGGTGTGGTCAGTACATAGAGAGGTGTGTGGTCAGCACATAGAGAAGAGTGTGGTCAGCACATAGAGAGGGGTGTGGTCAGTACATAGAGAGGGGTGTGGTCAGTACATAGAGAGGGATGTGGTCAGCACATAGAGAGGGGTGTGGACAGTACATAGAGAGGGGTGTGGTCAGCACATAGAGAGTGGTGTGGTCAGTACATAGAGAGGGGTGTGGACAGTACATAGAGAGGGGTGTGGTCAGCACATAGAGAGGGGTGTGGACAGTACATAGAGAGGGGTGTGGTCAGTACATAGAGAGGGATGTGGTCAGCACATAGAGAGATGTGTAGTCAGCACATAGAGAGGTGTGTGGTCAGCACATAGAGAGTGGTGTGGTCAGTACATAGAGAGGGGTGTGATCAGTACATAGAGAGGGGTGTTTACAGCACATAGAGAGAGGGGTGTGGTCAACACTTAGAGAGAAGGGTGTGGTCAGCATGTAGAGAGATGCGGTCAGCACATAGTTGTGGTCAGCACATGGAGAGAGGGGTGTGGTCAGCAAATAGAGAGATGTGGTCAGCACATGAAGAGGTGTGATCAGCACATAGAGAGAGGGATGTGGTCAGCGCATAGAGAGAGTGGTGTGGTCAGCACATAAAGAGAGGGATGTGATCGGCACAGAGAGAGGCGTGTGTGGTCAACACAGATAGAGGGGTGTATGGGCAACACAGAGAGGGGTGTATGGTCAGCAGACACAGAGGGCATGGTCAGCACATAGCGAGAGGGGGTTGGGTGTCAGAATGCATGTGGTATTTGCTTAGATAGACGGCAATTAACATCTGCATTGATCATTGTGCAACACTCTTTGACATTTATGTGTTAGAGTACTTCTATTCTTAATGCATCAGTTGTTAACTTCAGACAATCTGTTGTAATATCCAACATAAAATGTCAAGGAGAAGGAAAACTGAAAGCAAAAATGAGAGCCAGTGGAACGTTTAGTTGCATAAACTGTTTAAAAAAACAACTGAAGGCTGAAGACATACATGAACAGCAAATGGGCAAATGGCCTTGTGTAGGTGCGTGTGTGTATATAACTTGATACATGTATGTTTTTTATAATTTTACGGATGTCACCTGAGCCATCAAAATATGATTCATTAGTCGAGAATGGTTTTGTTTCTTTGAGTTGTGTGTATATATGCTGCCTGTTTTGTGGACTAGGTAAAGGCGCTACAGAAAGATTTGATGAACCGGTACCAGGAGCTGAAGCTGTGGACATCAGGTGGCTACTCCATGTCACTCACTCACTCACTCACTCACTCGTGTCTTGTCTCTCTCTTCACACATGCTGGGGGTCGTCAGACCATCTGCAACCTACTCTCATTCAGTGGTGTAGTAGTAGTAATAGGATTTAGACAACTTGGACCATAGGAGGCCCGTTTGAGCCCAAAATGGTGATCACCGTGTAGAGCTACGTCCCTTGGCCATGCCAGGATCCAGTGATCCCAGATTGGAATTCTAGATTGACCTCATTTATTATTAGTTGTTAGCACCATGCATGTGGGTTTCACCAAAGAGGTAAATGTCTCTGACTTGCGTGATTCCTCAAAAGTTCAGCTCACAATGAAGAACTGAAAAACTGTTCGTGAAATCAAATCATCATCGGTTTGTGAATTGATGTGATGATTCATTAGCTGTATTCAAACTATTCTAACAAAGGACACCAAGAATATGACAGTATGTTGCATATGTGTTGGCGCCACCAGCTGCGTGGGGCACATCGTCTCTAGTGTTCGTGCATGTGGCATCCGCAGATGTCAGCAGTGATGATCGTGCAGTGTGCAGCGTTGTCTTAGCGTTTAGTGTCGTGTACTGAAATACTGAGCAAACCCATGATAAGTCATTGCATGGAACTAAATGTCTAAACTATCAGCTCTGAAACATGTATGGTAAATGTCATAACACCATAACTTTGATCAGAAAAAAGTCACAAAGTGGGGTTATTTTGTTCCTAAGGATCAAAGTCTTGTTGAAGAATATATGTTTCGGTTAACAGAGAATGCCATGTGGGTATAAGAGGGGTGACTCTGGGTTCAACATCTTACAAATGTAGATCATGGTTTGCCAGTAAGAACATGAACATGTATTTGAGCTTCTTGTTTGTAGAATTTGTTGTAGTTTGACCGCCTTGTCATGGTCAAGTAGCCAGTGTCCAGCAGTAGCTGTTGGTCAGCCATGTCCAGTCAGTAGCTGTGGTAGGCCAGCAGTCTGTGGCAAAACCTTCTGAGTCTAGTTGAACAAATAAACTTACTAGATTAGAGTCATTTTGCTAGATTTGGTAATGCTACTTTACCTCATGCAATTTAATGTAAAATATTCACTTGCTCAATTTGTGAAAACATTTAAGGATATCCGAGCAAAATTGAAATTTGTCTAGCTCCTGGGATACTTTGACAGCAGACTAACCGACTTGGGGCTAGTGCTAATTTGCATCCATACTTAGGTTTTGAACTAGTGGCTACGTTGGTAACCCTGTAGAAATGTTATAACAGCCCTACCCAATGGGATTCTGGGTACAATTGGTCCCCAGTAACCTGTTCTTGTCACATGAGTCGAGGGGCGGTCGGGTAGCCTAGTGGTTAAAGCATTCGCTCATCACGTCGAAGACCCAGGTTCGATTCCCGACATGGGTACAATGTATGAAGCCCATTTCTGGTGTCCCCCGCCGTGATATTGCTGGAATATTGCTAAAAGCGGCGTAAAACCAAACTCACTCACTCACTGACATGAGTCGAAATAGGTGTAAGTCTTGAGTAAGTGATCTTTGAGCATTACAGTTTATTCTTAAGTGTAGGCATCAAAACCATCATAGCTCTGAACAGGCCATTATCAGATATTCCCCTGCAATATATGCAGGATATATGTGTCTGCAATGCACTGTATCAATCAGGGGCACTGTTTCTCAAAGCAATCATAGTGAAAAGGCTCTGACACTGACAGGACAGTCGTGTTGACTAACAGGATTGGCACCCATGAAGATCTGGGGTAGAATAGGTCTTCAGCAACCAATTCTTGTCGTAAAAGGCGATGCTGCTTGTCGTCGGAGGCAACTAATGGGATCGGATGGTCAGGCTTGCTGACTTGGTTGATGCAAGTCATGGTATTCCAATTACGTGGATCGATGCTGATGATGTCAATCAGTGGATTGTCTGGTCCTGACTCGATTATGTACAGACCACCGTCATATGGCTGGAATATTGCTGAGTGCGGCATTAAACAACAAACAAACAACAGGATCAAGTGGTCAGGCTCACTGACTTGGTTGAAGCATGTCATCATGCATTGATTAATGCTCATGATATCAATCACTGGATTGTCCAGAAAACAAACATAGCACAATCGTAGTGTTAAGTTTGTTGTGGAGTAGTATCCAGGAAGCGGGCATATTTGTGTCATTTAGCCATGATGCAGTGATCCACTGGTCGTGGGTTTGAATCCCAGATTCTCCTACTTTATTATGTTTGGTTTGTCGGCACCACACCAGTGCTTTTGGTAAAGGTATACAATATGGGTCACCAGGTTTTCCAGGCACATGAAACTTATACACAGTGTTGACCGTAAGCGGATCAAAGTGTCATTCTAAGTTGTTTAAGTTCCTTTGTGACAGGGAAACCTTCAATCTTGCTTCGAAACACTGATGTGTGAAGCAATCCCAATTTATTGATAGATGACAGCAATTCCCTCTGTGACTGACATTAAGTATTAGTTGATATTAAGTTTAATGTGACAGTTCTTTCATTATGTTATTTGGCATTTGAGTATTGATTAGGTTAAAGATGAATGCCCTACTTGGAGAAATCAAAATGCAGTACATTAGTTCCAGGTTTTGCAGTTATCACTTGACATTTGTGATAGTTCTTTTTTGGATGGGGTTTTTAATGGGTGTTTGTGTCAGAACAACAGAGCTAGCCACCTTGGTATGGAACTGACTATTTTGTTATTGGGAGGATCAGGTGCTGAGAGTTAGTTTCCATGAGTTGATAGACCAGTTTTTGTTGGTGTCCCATTCACTACCACCACACACATAACCATCCAGCACCACCATACACAACACACGACACAAACACACACACTACTCACACCCATCACCACACCACACCACACCACACCACACCACACCACACCACACCACAACACCCAGCCACCCCGGACACACATAGCATCACACACTACACACACTCTCACACACCATACAACACACATCACATACCACACACTTCACACCCTCCCATGCACCACCACCACACCACACACCACCTTCACACCCCTCACACACACCACCACACCCCACATGCTCTCACACCCTTCTCACACACCACAACACATATCACATTCTACACACCCCTCTCACACACCACCACACCACACCATACACCACATACCTCACACACACCACCACACCCCACATGCTCTCACACCCTTCTCACACACCACACCACATATCACATTCTACACACCCCTCTCACACACCACCACACCTCACCCCTCACACACACCACCACACCCCACATGCTCTCACACCCTTCTCACACACCACACCACATATCACACCACACACCACACCCCTCACACACACCACCACACCCCACATGCTCTCACACCCTTCTCACACACCACCACATCACACCACACACCACACCCCTCACACACACCACCACACCCCACATGCTCTCACACCCATCTCACACACGAACACACCACACCACACCACACCACACCACACCACACCACACCACACCACACTCCACCCCTATCCCTAATTGCTTGTCCACATCTTTCCAAACCACGTCTAACTGTATTTTAGGAGTGCCCCTGCTGTTTTCTCATTGCCACTCATTGCCTATGATCACTTTGCAGTTCCATCACAAAGTTCCTGACACTAAACTGCCATAATACATGTTCTCTTGGATACAAATTAGGGCTGGTACAAGTCTAAATTTACTACCCAGGTTCGCGACCCTCTATTACCCTACCCTACCCATCTACCCACTGTAGCGTCAAGAGTTGGGTACAAAATATCTGATTACAAATTGTTTTATCAGACCCCTGGGAAGAAATATTTAGGTACATCTATAAAATGATCTGGTCATGCATTCACTGGAGTTGACTACATCCGCATCTTTACTCAATACATACAAATGTCAGGGAATGCTTGAATAGTCAGAAAGTTATACAACATCGGCAACTTGTAGGTAACCATGGAATTGTGGTAGGGAATCTTTCTCATTAAACGACATATCACATGACTAATCACGGGTCTGGATAGTCCTGTGGGTACCCGGGTTTCAACTCAGTACCCACCCGACCCAAGTACCCGAGTACCCGAGTTACCCATCACATATATACAAAATGAAATTAAAAAAAGAAAAAAGGTGAGAAATTCTTATAAAAGGGTCATCATTGTTTTACATATTTCAACTGTTAAATGAGAAAAATTGCAAGTTTTGAAGGGATGGTCTATTGTTCACGATATGTGATCACAGTTTACATTTAGAAGTTCATGAAGTGCAAAGGATGTATATCTGTAGAGTTTCATATTTACCGGTGCTCTTGAATTGTGTTAAATTTTAAATATAGCTGTGTGACCCTACTACCAAGAATTGCCACGTGAATCTCAATATTGTCATATGAATCTCAGTATTGTCATGTGAATCTCAGTATTGCCACATGACTCTCAGTAAAGCCATGGAATCACATTAGCACGATGTGAGTCCAATAATACCACTGCTTGCCTGCCATGACAGTTACAACACAGTCAATCACATTACTTCCACTGCCTGCCACGTGAATCAATGTTTTGCCACATGCACTGCACCTGCAGAATCATATCAAGTTTTTGTGAGATAGTCATTTTCACACTGGTTCTGTGCTATTTCAATGTAGTTAATAACGTAGTATTGATACTACAGCTCCACACATCAGCAGATAGCTCATTTCAGTGGATACGTTATGAGCAGTGTAGCACATTATGTTGTATACATGGAATTAATTTCTATTTACCTTTATTCAATATGAAAATCCTGTAAGAATATAAAATTGCTTCTCTTAACGAACATTTTGCACAGTATTCAAAAAATATTCTATTACCAAGACTACAGTGAAATAACAGAAACTGACAGGAAATGACTGTTTGGCAAATACCTTTGCTATGATGATGAAGCTAGTCTGCCTGTAGATGTTCTGTTTCAGTCACCATACAGCATCTACTTGCTGCTGATCCTG